TGCTGCCAGGTTAGTTGATCGGATGGTAGTTTTAATGGCATCGACGAAATGCTGGTTGTATATCGGTGTCTCTTCTGATGTCAATTGAGAGGTTCAGCCTAGGAAACGTTTGCGAATGCTTCAGGATAGGATATTCGTTAAATGGCCAAAGGTTTGTGATTCTTTCGAGCCCGATCTTCTACAGCGCCATCCACTGAGACCGTGGAGCGAAGTAATGCGAAGTTTAACGCTATGCAGACGATGTTTACTTCAGTAACAGATATCTTTTACTACCCGCCTGGCATCCGTCAGCACATAACCGATCTGGTAGTCCCATTGTGGCTTCTCCACTTCCACTGCCGCTTCTTGGCATTTTCAAACATGGAGACGACTTGTTTTGGTAGTTGTTACAGAGTTAAAGGTGCATTCGTTTTGCTCTCTAATTCAACACCGGCCGTTAAAACTCTCTACCTCAGATGTCACCTTTCCTACAACATTGAAATCTTTATGTACGACTGTGCAGGTGAACATCTTCCGCACTGCGTTTTCCATTTCTTTGTACGACCTCTCTACCTCTCTACTTCTTCATCATCTGCTTTCTGTACTGAGCTAAATTCTTCCATCATCTGTGGTACCTTCTCTTGTCGTTCGTACACAGTGGTCATGTTAGAAGAAGCAGTGCGGTTGAAGCTTGGCATAAACGAACACGCGGAGATTATTTAATGCGTTCGGTTCGACGATGCCCCCAACCACCATGTATTGTAAGGAGATGTTCCATCAGGTAGTGCGTGGGTATAATCGAGACAACTTTGATAGAAATCTGACGAATAAGGTAAACAGAGATCTTATGCTAATTTTGATTTAACTGCTCACGTCATTGATGACGTCACTGCAGTTTAAGCTTCGATTGAGTTTAAACTGAGCGTCAAGTTTGACACTGCTTCGCTTCATTCATTTAGTGTGCTTGTGAACTGTAGTACTGTAAAGCTGCGATGCAACAGCCTTCTTGTAACATCTGCAATAAACTGTGGGAGGGAAAGATCAGAATACTGCGATGTGGCCACAGCATCTGCGAGAAATGTGCTAGCGACTTGCTATCTGCTAATGATAACCGTGAGCGTTTTATTAAATGCATGCGATGTGGAAAAATCAGCCACTGTAACAACGGTGTAGAAGATCTGTGGAGAAACTATATGCTTGAAGAAGCTATTGAAATGTTTCGCAGTAATGCTGCTGTTGCCACCAACGGAGACAATGACAAGCAGGGCAACGGAGTAGGAGGTAGTTCAGAGGATTCCGCCCTACAACAGTAAGAAAACTCGACTGTTATGCCATTAAACTAATAATGGCTGATGGTAAACTACATGTATATGTGCTTGTTTTAATCGAGAGCCGGTTTTCATATGTTCTGCTTTCATATTTTTGAGATCAGACCGTCCCTGTGATGACAAATAATATTATTTGAAGCGTTTACAGCTGGTAGACCTGTCTCAGGTGCATTGTGCATTGCAAAGTTTTAGTATCGCCTGGCTTTTCCGTTCAA